ATAACATTAAACGTGACGCGCAACAACAGATTATGAAATATGTAACTCACGAAGAAACAAATTAAAAAATTAAACGTCTCGACTTCCAAGGTTATTTATTATAATTGTGTCATAAAATAATGCATAAAACGCTAATACAAGGCTGATGCTTATATTGCAAGCATTGCATATTAGCATTTGTTTAAATTAAACTTAACCATCTAATAATAAATACTGGAGTAGACTTGCTCACAAAAATATTATTGCTTGCTCAAGGATAAGTGCATAATTTGCGTTCCAAATTTGAAAACTTCAAACGCAAGTTCAAAACATAAACACAGACAGATAATAAAAATATGCAACAAGCAACAAAGCGCATTTCATGAACTAAATAATAGTTCTTAGCTGTCGTCGATTTGTTTATGGTTTCCTTGATGTTTTGTTTTACGATAAAACTATAATAAGGAATTCAACACACCGTTTTTTGTAATTTATAAATAGCATTTTAAAAATATTTTCCGATATTCAATGACAAATGTTAATTTATCAATTAAATTCAATTACGTAATATATTAATTTGTTACCATTACCTCGTAAATGTCTATATAAAAAAAACCGGCCAAGTGCGAGCCGGACTCACGCACCGAGGGTTCCGAACAAATCCGTAGGTATATAAGTTTAAATTTATTAAAAATATTTTTATTATATGATGTAATTAAAAATTTATGCTGTTCGCAATTTTTCCTTTATTTGTGCTATAAAATGTTGCTTCATACCAAATTTCAAGATTCTGAGTTCACAGAAAGTACCCTGCAGGTTTTGATTCCCTTGCGAATGTCGAAAATTTGCGGCATAAACGGCTGTATCTTTTGATTGAGTAGGCTTAGAAGTTTGATTTTTTCACAGCTCCAAGGGACAGTAGACTTGAATATTTGATATGAATTTCAGCTTGATACCTTTACGCGTTCCTGAGAAAAAGGGTCTTGACAGACAGACAGACAGACGGACAACAAAGTGATCCTATAAGGGTTCCGTTTTTTCTTTTGAGGTACGGAACCCTAAAAAGCTGTTACAGTCATATTAAGCGGCTAGTTTTATGAAATATTCATCTATACAAATAAAATGATAGAGGTTTACAGTTGTAAGATTTACTTAGGTATTAGACGTGTCACGGAACAGCTACTGGATAGATTTCGATTAGGTTGTCAAAGTTTTATTTCTTAGACACTTCTTGGCATTTATCTAAAAAAATATTGCGATATCTTCATTTAATATAACTTTATTAAAGTTTTAAGAAACAACGATTTCTAAAAGCGAAAACATTGTTAATATACGAAGCAACGCGGACGAAGTCACGGGTATCAGCTAGTGCTGTATATTCTGGAAGGTATGGGCTGTCAGTGCAATGAAATTAAGGAACAGGAGTATTAAACAAAAAAATTATATAAAATAAAGACAAACACACAGAGGAAATATTTTTATGGTCTACAAATAATTATTCCGATTCTATGTTTAAATTATGTAGTTATCTATGTTAAACGCCTCAAAGTAATAGCAGCAATTCCGGCCTGAAGTATTAAAAAAAAAACACCTTTACTATTATGCGATATTTGGAGACGTCCTCAAGTAATTTTCAAACGATTTCTTATATTTACTCGAACACTACTCATTAAATAAAGCTATTTTATACGCGTGATCAAATTCATAAAACAAGTAGTCTAAAATAAACTGGAACTCTACGCGTATAATTTGTGAGGATTTGTTCTTTTTTACTTTGTTCAGAATTTTGTGAGATATATGTCCTGACTAACACATTTTCAGGAGAATTTCATTCATAATTGCATAATAAGATCGTAGACACACGGTAGTGTGTCAGCCAAGTTGAAAAAAAAAGGGTCAACGCAACGGCTGTGTGTAATAACTCGGGTTGTCAGGTTCGCCGACAAAGGAGTTGAGATCCGAACGAGTGCCAAACTCCATAGCAGTTCCAGGAACGTTGTTCCCTATGATTTAAGCAACTGTTATGTTGTGGTATGAATTGTTTTAGGTGCTATTCTAGAACTAAAGTACATTTATATTAAACATTTTTATAATGTAAAACGTTACATATAGTGTACAAGCACCCTTAAATAACTTCTGCCCAACTCGCAGCCAATAACACAAATGGTTGTGTTGACGTCTGTCGTCAGAGAGGAACCTTGACAATGACGGTGCTTAGTGATGAGTGGCCAGTAAAAGAGCGATTAGAAACGCTTGTGATAATGAAAAATTCTAGTTACCATCATCACCAACAAAAACTTCCTTTGCTTTTGAATAACAAGAAATATTTTTAACAAAACTCGGCGTTTACACAGTTTTGTACTTTGTATCTTAAGTAAACTTTTCTTTAAAATATGATGTTTCAAAATTTTGAACAGATTTTAATATATTGTTTTGTTTGCTGGATCTAAACAAGAATTTATACTTAGAATTGCAATACATAAAACAACATGGCGGTAATAAGTCACTTGATCAATGATCAATGACGTTTAAAATAAAATTGATAAGTATTGACAAACATTCAGATCCGGAACAATTATGTTTAGGCTATACGAACACATGTTCCGTTGTATATCCGAACCCGCAGCCCAACAGCAACCATACAACCGCCGCAACCATTGTGCTACAGATCTGTCAAAACTAAAAATTTTAACTGATAAAAGTAATAATTTTTAGACTGCGGTTTTAATGGCCCCAATCGAATGAGATCATCTATTGAATAACCAATATATAAATTAAAATATCAACTGCACTGCGGAATTCCCAGCACGTTATATTTAAGTTTTAAAGATACTAAAAAAAATTCCTAAAATATGATTTTTTTTATATTTAAAATGCTATACAAGATTAGAAAAAATTACGTGTGTATATTACACTTGTATGACAAATTTACATATGCTCGACGGTGACGGAAAACATCAACTTTTCTGTCTGAGAAATGTTTTTTAAAGACTTTTGTGTAGCGGTGGTGTAAGGATATCCACTACTTCATGACATACTGTGGGTATCGTAAGAGGCGACAGAGGAAAACAAATCCGAACAGGCAGCGGCGTCTTTCCAAGAACAGCTGAAAATAACATTACCTGCTAAATGTGGGAACTATGGTGATATTCCCCCTATGAGGCAATCTATGGGGAGACTTATGTTCAGGACTTTGGTAGTCTGCCGGGACTTTTGATAGTCTGCAATGAATGAACGAAAAAAAAAAAACACTAGGCACTATCGCGCTCTGAAGCAGTGCACCAGAACTACCTCATAACCTCTCGAATATAATAAATACTCAATTTTAAGATGTCGTTAGTTTTCGTGGTGTTACCGTCACTTTGACTTAAAGTGATAGAGACAACATGAGATTCAACGGCATCTTAAAGTTGAGCAGCGTTTGATTATTTGGACATAAGAGACGGTTTGTGTACAACAGCAGAACGCATAAACGCTTACAGTCTTTAGTTTTTAAAACACAATATTTCTGGTGGCGAAAATGCATACTTTCCTTGTGTCCCAATAATCTACGATCTATATAATATACAACATGTAACAAAAACCCTGTGGTTCCGGTTAAGTGCGTTATTAGAATCAGTATTCAAACACATAGAAATAACTTTACTTCAGAAAACTCGACCACATATATAATTAATTCAATTGTAATAATTTTTTATTTGCAAATTGTATGTGGTTTTATTACCTCTGCATTAGCCGGGGAGTCAAAGTATTGTCAAAGACACCGCTTTACCGATGCGCGTGTCAGTTAGAATAATATTTGTGTTCACAATGGTTTTATAATTTTGCCTCGTATGTACGTAGGCACTTGGTCCGAACATTCTTTTACGTGGTAAAGTTTACACTGTAAAGCTGTATTAAGTATTTGCTGGTCGGCAGAAAACAATCGGCCGAATTTCGGTTAAATCTTATTTTTGACATCAACAGGATTAGGATTCTGATACGTAATCGAGGATAGATGTAGATGTCTATGGGCCACAGCAACCACTTACAAATAGTGAACTGTGTGCTCGTTTGTCACCCTTATCCCATAAAAAAATCATAATTCACGAATTTGTGCGCAAGCCTATGCTTAAATATGAGAGTAAGGGCGTGTTCCGACGACACGCACCTGCTACGCGCATTCTACGCGCGTCAGCACCCGCGTCTAACTCGGTTTTTGGTGCTCTACCTTTTCATTTTATATTGGTTTTATATTTTAAGTGAAATAGGTATAATTTAGTGGCTGAAATACAACAAACTTACAACAAACTGCTTTCTTGACTTTGTGATAACAAAATCCCAAAATTAATTTCACATATCAAATAAATAAAACTATTTTTATGGATTTTATCGCGCACATTAACTTATTTTTATATTCCCATGTTTCGAGCACTTTACGATACCTACTTGCTTACTTACTGTCGGTAAGTAAGGAAGTGCGTAAACATAAGAAATCTTTACGTAGCAAATCATCTTAATTTTTTTCTATAATAAAGTATATAATTTTTTATCAGAAGTTTAATAACCGATGCCCTCTCTGCGTTGATGCCAATGCCTAGGGTTGCCTATTATAGGTGCTTAGGTGCCTAGGTGCCTATTATAAATCCTTCACTGCGCAGGACCAACGCCTTTACGTGATTAAAATGTTCATAATATATAATCCATGGGACAAGGAAGTTATTAAGATTAACTTACATGTTATGAAGGACCACGTTCTTACAGAATACCCTCGTGTAATAGCACCTCAATGCCTGTACTTTGTGCGGTAAAGTGACGAGTACCGAAAACCATTTAATTTGTAACGAAGCATTTCATCTTGGTCATTTGGACCAATGTATCTGGATTTTTATTATTTTTTTAGAATGGGGCATTCATTTCTAAAAAGAATTTATTTAATCAGGTTCGGGCGAAAGTACAGCAAAGCATAATTTCTTATAGATTAATATATAAATTATGAAAAGGAGAATATACATATATACTGTATTTTTTGGTTATTCCAGCCAGCCTCGTGTCGTGTCAAGTTCGAGAGTCAGCTGAAGAAGATCGAATATGATGCGCACCGCGCTGCCAGCTTCAACGGCGAGAACCACCATAAGTTCCTCCTCGGCCACATGATCGTCTTCAGGATGCATCTCAATAAGGTTAGAAAAAATATCCGATCCGGCCCGGATTTGCACGGGTGATTTCTGGATCTCGATAACAATGCCATATCAACTTAATCACACACACAAAATTTTATCAAAATTGGTCCAGCCGTTTAGGAGGAGTTCATTCATATACAAACGGACAGAATAATCATATACTGCAAGAAATTACTCTATTTCTGACGTTAGAAATTATTCTCATACTTCTTTAAAAAAGACCGGTAACAAAACCTCCTTACTGTCAGAAACCATTCTGGAGGCCAATTGTTAAGGATAATAAAGGTGTCTCTCACACCTGCATATGCTCAACTTGCTCTCCTGCTTACGCAACTAATCATTATTAGCAACAATATAGTTGGACCAACCATCACGTGTTCCCGTCACAAACACACACCGGTGTAATGTGAAGGACCCAATTACATGATAACACGAAAGTAAGCAAACCAACAGTACAACAGTGTCAGTAATAAGATCTTCCTTGTCTACACTAGTAGAACACCCCAACCCCAACGGGCATAGTAACGGCAGAGACTCGTAGAATTACCGACTGATCTCTCTTAGGCCAAGAACGCACTAGCGGCGCGTCGTAATGCGGTGTGCCGTTGCGGCGTGCCGTTGCGGCGTGCCGTTGCGGCGTGCCGTTGCGGCGTGCCGTTGCGGCTGGCCGCAGTATATACGGTCTGCTGCAACGGCACGCCATATGCCGGCTAACCGCATCGTGTCGGTTCTATTGCGGTCCGTCATAATCGTCAGTGTTTCGAGAAATATTGGACATAATGGACATTGAAGAAGTTGCTGCAGCTATTTATTTATATCGATTCTAGTTGCTTCGATTTGAATCGAATCGGAGATCGATTTTCTTTAAGCGAATCAACATGCCAGGCTTACGGCAAACCGCGCCGAGTGCGTATAGGGGCTGCGGCGCGCGCATCATTCAACCGGTGCGACTAACGGCAGGCCGCAAGTCAGTGCGTCTATATCATGTGGTTTCATATAAAATTCGAATGCCAGCCTGCCTTAACGGCATGCCGCATCACGGCTAGCCGCTAGTACGTTCCTGCGCTTAGTCAACTGCGCGATACTTTATACTGCTAGAACAAGTTAGTGGGAGATTACAGTTTTACCTTCATTTGTTCGTATTTCATTTTATTTTGTTTACCCTCGTTCCCAACAATACATAATATAAAGATTGTCTGTGATTCTGAACGATCTAAATAATAATCAAAATAGGAATTCTAACAATTTTTTACATTTGTCCCCTTCACAAATGTGGCAAAATATTTTTCAAAGTAGTAATGATTTTGTAAATTTATACAGAATTGTGTCATGTTTTAGATCGATTCCCGTAATGTCAGCGTTATTTTAGAGTTGTTTCTTTGATGAATGCTAAGTAATGGGATGAAAGAAACGGAGTTTTATTTTAACTTAGACATACAATGTAAAGAATTACTAAAGATGTTGTGTGGAAAAATACCTTGTCAAATAAATAATACTTTATTTTCACTAGTAGTATGTTCTTTATTTTTTTAGCTTAGAAAATTTTTTGCTTAAAAAACAAGTGGCAACCCTATGGTACGATCTAAATATCTACCCATAGTAAAAATTAAACGTAGTGATTATATTTTCTTTGGTAAAAATATGATTCCTATTTTGTTTTCAGAGTGAGGAGTATATAAAGAAATGTGACAGAATAATAAAGGACTGCGGCATACCGTGCGAAGTGAGTATTTCAAAACGCGGTTTACGTAAACCGTAAAAATTATAAGAACAAATAATAATTATAAAATATAATTTCATCATACTTGACACTGGCAAAAGTACTGCCGTACTAGTCCATTATTAAATAAAGAAAGAGTCCATATTAGCGATATATTGAAGATATTTTTTTTTATAAAACTGAAGTGGCAAAGGAACTACGTGGTAGAGCAATACTGCAGCTATATTAGTAGTATAGTTGTAGCACGAATGGGTCGGCTTGACCGAGGAAGGACCACGCTCTCACAGAATACCGGCATAAAATAGCAGCTTAATGCTTCTGTGTTTCGTATGGTGAGTGTAGAAAACCGGAGACCCTTCTTACTGGCAACGAGGCATTTCATCTTAGTCCTCATGGGTGACAACGCATCTGCATTTTGATTCTTTATTGAGGATAGATGTAGATGTCTATGGTTCACAGCAATCGCTTACCATCATGTGGAATGTGTGCTCGTTTGTCAAATTTATCCTATAAAAAATGCAAAATTTATTCTCAATCCAACTATACAACTATCAATAAACCATGTTTTGTAAGAAGAGGTATTAAGTTTTAAGGAACGGCCTGACCTGAAGTTTCCACTACCCCCTATTATGCTGTGCGGATCGCATGGAGAGACAGAGAGAAACAAACGAGGAGATGGGCAGTAGCATCTTATTATTATCAACTGACAAATAAGAACAACTGAGTTTCCCACCCGCCTACCAAGCATGGTAGCTATGGCAAATATCCCATCCTACGCCACGGGGCAATCTATGGGTAGGCCTATGTTCGGCAGAGGACTTTTGATGGGCTGTACCAGTAAGTTTTAAGAAAGTAATTAATTAATTAATACAATCAGGCGTTACTTCTTGGAAATCCACTATATTAAAGATGTTAAAAATAACTAACTGAGATCCGCGAATAAAAAAAATAATATGTCTTACCTAGTTTGAAGAGCACCTCTCGACCTTCCTCAATTGCATGCACTATCCCTCTCATCCCGGTGTCCAACATTACTACAATAAAAAATACACACCATGGTCTATAATACGCCACGTGTTTCGTAGGGAAAATATGAATATGATAATGGCAACACTAAAGCATAGCAGGCGCCGCCTTGGAACGCCAACTTATACTTGACAGTCTGTAGCGATATATTGAAGGTATTTTTTTTTATAAAACTAAAGTGACAAACGAACAAAAAGTCCATCTGATGTGGTAAGTGGCCACTGTAGTCCATGGACACCTGCAACCAACTTCAAGCAAAGAATACTAGAAATGCGTTGTCACCTTTGCGGTCTAAAAGAGCATACTTCACAGTCTGTAACTGGTTTTATATACTACTTTCTAAATAATCCAGTTAAAAAAAAATTTTAAATACATTATATGAGTAAATAAGTAATGATAATCTACTTCTTATTAATGATAAAAATCTTAAAAACTTCCTTATTTTCCAGACGACTCCAAGAATAACAAAATGGCGTCGACTTGCCTTGGAAGAAATCAACCGAGTTCGAGACGACATCGAACATTCGAGGCGATCGTATCGCGACCTGTTGCTGCACGCGCACAGGCGTCTCAATCACCTGAGGAAGCACGCGAAAACGCGGGCTTCGGCTGCTGTACAGGAGCTTACTGAATGTGTTCAAGCTGGTTAAATAATCCCTTGAACAATAACCCAATCCAAAAATATTTTTTATACGTGGTGCGACCAAGCTGCAGTTTGTTTTGGCTGCAACAAGAATAGTTCACTTTGACCGGGGAAGAACCACGTTCTTACAGTATACCAGCGTGGAATAGCAGCTTGATGCTGCTGTGTTTTCGTATGGTGAGTGTAGAGAACCGGAGAACCTTTTACTGGAAACAAGAAATTCCATCTTAGTTCTGATGGATGACGACACATCTGCATTTTGATTCATAATCGAGAATAGTTGTAGATGTCTATGGGCCACAGCATCCACTTACCAACAAGTGGACTGTGTGCTTGTTTGTCACCTTTATTCTATACAAAAAAAACGGATTTTTTTTGTAGAAGTAAGCCCACCCAAACAACCAAAGAAAGACGAAATGCTGCGTGCATTTCAAGTGACGCAAAAACCAAGCTAAAACCATGCTCAACTTATTGTAAAGTCACGCATCACGTACACTTATGCATTAAAATCATTTGCAAACAAACATGGTTTTAGGTGCGTATGTGTGCGTCAGGCAGTCAACTTTTACAGGCTGAAAAAGAAAGAAAGGAAATAGATGTGTGCGTGAGTGTGGTAGAAGAAGTTGAGCATAGTTTCGGAATCACTTAAAATACACTGGCGCTCCGTCTATCTCTCTTTATTATTCGAAGAATGTAAGGGTAACAAATGAGCACACAGTCCACCTGTGTGAAGTTAATGTGGCGATCCATAGGCAACTAAATTTATCATCAATTAAGAAACAAAAAGCAAATGCATTGTCACCCCTGAGGACTAAGTTGTAACGGCTCGCTACCAGTTAAAGGGTAGATACATACGCAACATAGCAGCATAATGATGCAACTTCAATCTGATAATATGTGAGAGCGTGGTCCTCCCTTCTGAGCCGACCCATTCGTGCTGCAAACATAATGTAACTACAGCGTGTATATCATGTACAAAATATTGGCGACAAAATTTTACAATATTTTTAAAACTGTCTAGGTTATTTCCCTATTGTTTTTGTTTGTTTTGTGTGTTGGTAGTAGAAAGGCTTTGCCATAAACGCTATATCCGTCTCTGGATTTAATATTTTATATAAGAGGCGTAAGGGGCCATTCATTAATTACGTAAGGATTATTTTGGCGATTTTAGACCCCCCCTGCCAGAATGTAAGGGTACATAAGATTTCTCGACTGAATTGGTATCCCTTCCCTCTTCTGTTTTCTCTCCCCTCTTCTTTTTGGGACTAATAAAATGTTGTTAGAAAAGGACCAGTTACACTAACACTCAGTTTGACGTAAATCAGAGATTTTAATTTTTTAACAGGTTTAGGCTATAGGTACTCGTTTATTGGTATCAGATACAGATTATCATTACATTATTATTGGACTACAACAACATGGAAACTACGCGGGAATTTTAAAGTTATAAAATATTGTTAGTTTGAGTAAAATAATATGTTATTGCGACCTCAATTATTATGGAATAAAAAAATTTAATCATTCAATGCTATTGTTGCTTGTTGCTTCCAAATAAATAAGATTAATACGCGGGAAGACTGTACTATAATTATTACTAATGACATTTAAAATGGATAAAAATGAACACACTTAAAACTTTAAAATATTAATAAACAATAAAAAAATTAAATAAGATGTCATTCGAAGTGTACAGAATTGTAGTTATAGAATGAAGAAAACCATTCAACATCCGAATTGTAACTAGATTTCTAATATTAAATTTCGACTTAAAAAAATTATATTTATTATAACTTTCCTGTGATTCCTCTTTGACGTTTGAAGTAAAGTCATAGTCATAATTTTACTGTTAGTCATTGGTTATTCTTTCATTTTTATTTTAGAGGGAATTTTTTTTTAAAATGTTAATCGTTATGTCTAATATGATAAATGATGGATGATGTTTAAAAGTAAGGATATTCCACGCGCATTTAATGCGTTTGATTCTGGGGTTTTACGTGCAGATAGGGTATAATAGATACTCTATATTCTATACATAAATCTATGAAACGATGATATTCGCACAGAATTATTACTATGGATATTATATATGATAAATATACTATAGATATAAAATCGAATTGTCGGTATCGATGCCTCATATGGAGATTTGGAATCTGTTTGGAAATCATGGTTCATGGTTATAATCAAGTTACTTACACCAAACAATACATTAAAACTTAACATAGGTACTTAACATATTAAAAAAAAGCATTATATTGCCAGGATGAGATTTATATTTTGGTTCATGCAAGGCGATGGTTGCATTGCAATTGTTTTTTGTTGGAATAACTATACGCTAAATATAAGAAAAATGTCATAAAGTATACAAAAAACTTCGTGCCATCATAAACCTTATTTTCTTAGTTATTTTACAAATTGTAATAAAAATATTACGTAAGAATATCCTATTTAATCCTAGATGTTATTTATTACCTACAAACTTTTTATGAAATTATATACTTTTTGAAGTATTATTGGCTAAAAGATTTAAATAAAAAAAAAAAAACAGTGATTAAAGATTGTACATTTGTAAAATGAAAGTTGTTATGATTGAAATAAAATTTAAGGTAGAGTGTAATATGATGTGATTTAAAATATAAAAAATATATAGTAGCAATTATTAATTTATTTTATACAATTATTAAAGGTCATATTGTTGTTTTATTAAAATCATCCACAATATCGTCTATTATTGAAAATTTAATAAAATATCAGTCATAAATTTAAATCAAAATAGTTCTATCTAGTAATAATTAAATGAAGCATTGCATTTTGCACTGCTTCATTTTGTTATTTGAATGGAGTAAAACATTGTTATTTCTGTTAATCTTATTTTTTGTTGACAAATTTGAAATAATAATAGAGCGATAATTTATAACATAACAAAATATTTTGATTGATTTTGATTTTTTTTTTAATTTTGTAGAGAAATACGTACTTACTTAGTCCCACTGTGATAGTCATAAATTAATTTAAATTATTTAATAAAGTAACATTTAAGTCGAAAATCGATAGTACAATTTGGTGATTTTTAAACATAACAAAATGTTGTTATTTAATGTATTATAAAAAGATTTTTGTAATAAATGTGTTAACAATTTTAAATGACCTCTTTTATTTGTGCCTACATTTACATAAACACACCATAAGCTCTTCTTCTTCTTTTAAATTATAGCTTCTCTTGATATAATTCCGCTAGTGTCACGTCAGTCATGGGAGTGAAAAGTAAATATTTATTACATTAAGAGTTCTCAATTTTACGAGTGGGTTCACAATCTACAACAAAAGACGTCACATTTTTAAATACCATCACCAATATTGATTAGTAATTTTACAGATTAATATTGTTTGTACGAATAGAACAGAACGAACGAATACGAATACAAAAGGAGTATACACTAGGGACAACAAATACTGGAAATTTACAGGACGCGGGACGGCAGGATAGAGAGAGAGAGAGAGTGAAAAGATTAGGACACTCAAAGAACAGATGATTTACGGATCCTTTGTCTAGCCCACATTTTATTGAGCTATCCCTAATCCTTAGTTTAGGCAAACGTACCAGAATACAAGCATGCCCAAAGCGAAGGCGACAAACAGTGGAGGTGATTGTTTTATTAAAGTGGCGATATTGGAAGAACCAGCGTTTTGATGGGATATCTTTATGAGATTTCGGACAGTGTGGGTACCACCATTCCCACTTGTCTATTTCTGCCGCTAAATATTAGTGTTTGCCAAAGCATACTTTTTATATAGGTACCTGCGAAGTGTGGCCAAAACTCGATTTTTAATTAGCGTTTAAATATATTTTAATGTATAATGGGTAAAAATACAAAATGGCGGCAAATCCATAGGCTTATATTTTAATATAATCTTTAGATCTTTAGATCATACACTATGTTGATCAAGATCACACTGGACTATACAATCATTTTAAAAATGTTGTCGAATAGGTTGTCGAATCTTAATCCATTAGCTGTCCCGTATACATGAAAACACACAGAATAAATAATAGTTAAATCATTGCTATTGTCTTACAATTGTGTCTGAAATTCGGACAGTGAGTGCTAAAATCACAATCGCGTTTTTTAATTGGCTTCATATTCATGCACAAGGAGGCGATGAGGCGATATCTCATACCACCACATGAATCTAGTATATTATAGTACGACAAAATCTAAAAGTCACTAACATAATAGACTTAGAATGTTGTTTTAGTTCATGTTAATTTAGTATAGTAATAGTTACGTTTCTCAAGTTATATCACAGTTGTATTATGATTCTACGCCCTGGTGCTAGCAATGCTGTGTTTCGCTTTGAAGAGTATAGAAAGACTTTGTGAGTAGCTGCTGGCTGTATTAAATTTTAGATTTACTTACCCAAAAACTATAAATGTGAGCCAATACCACTGAGATGCGGTCGTGTTTTTTACAGAATAACGGTGACAAATGAACACACCGTCCACCTGATGGTAAGTACTTTGATTCTATGCTCCATAGAGAATTACTTCTATCCTTGATAAAGAGTCAAAATGTTGGTGCGTTGTCACCCTTGAGGACCAAACTATAAAGATTCGTAATTCTTAACTGATATTATACACTGGTGTTTTGTGAGAGCGTGGTTCTTCCCCGGTCGAGTCCACCCATTCGTTTTACAATCCTAATATAGCTGCATCGTAGCTCTACCACATACGAAGATATTATCTATTTCATAAATAGCGAAAACTATGCTGCTTTGAATCAAAACGAGATTGTTAAAAATTCAATTAAGTATAATAAAAAAACTTTGTTATATCTAGTAGGTTGTTTGGTCTAGACGGAATTGCTGTGAAGTAATAAGACCACCGTAGCTAGGAATAGCGGAGCTGCCGGGCACCGGGGGCCGTCTCTTCGCAACATTATTCATGGGGGGGGGGGGGGGTATATAGCCATAGTTGCCACGCTTAGGGGTGAGCAACCGCAGATTTTTATTGTTGTTTTGCTGTTATCAGAAAGATGCTGCTGCCCATCTTCTGGCTCAATTTCCAATTTCTCTCTGGCGCTTCTTACGACACCCACGGGAAGATATAGCGTAGTGGGTATTCTTTCCCGCCACTAGACAGGGCAATACTACCCAACCTTAGAAACGGCAGGGCAGATGGTGCTAACAATCTTCGGTGGAGGTTCGGTTGCCACCTAAGATGACTCGACCTGGTAACATACAACGCACGCACTCTGAGGACTGACGAGAAGATCCTGGAGCTGGAAGAAGAGATAAACAATCTACGCTAGCATATTATAGGATTATCCGAGGTCCGAAGAGAGGGGGAGGACACGGTAATCCTCGAATCCGGCAACTTGTTCTATCACCGAGAGGGCGACCATCTGTCCCAAGGAGGAGTCAGATTGTCGACGAGGGTTGCGTATCTCATACTAAGAATCACCAAACGGTATTCACTGAAGCTCATACAGGCTTACCTCGGCACATCCCGATGAGGAGGTGGAGAAAATATATGAAGATATATCTAGAGCCATGCATTCTTCCAAAACGCACTATACGGTGTTAATGGGAGACTTCAATTCAAAACTACGGACAAAACTGAAAACAACGGAAAATCGGAATAAAGCAATGGAACCCAAGGGGCCAGCAGTTGGCCGACTACATGGAGAAAGAGGGACTCTTTATGATGAACTCTTTCTTCCAGAAGCGGCTCACAGGAAGTGGACCTGGTCGAGCCCCGACGGTTAGACAAAAATTGAGATTGACTGCATTACGACGACTAGACGGCAACTGTTCAGTGATGTCTCAGTAATCGCGAGGGTTAAAACCGACAGCGATCACCGAATGGTAAGAGGCAAACTGAACCTAAACGTTAAGTTGGAAAAGTCACGTCTAATGAAGTTAACGCTCCGTCCCCTTCGTGCTCTAATCCAAAGTCCCGAAACATTTCAGCTCGAGTTACAAAATCGTTTTCAGTGCCTAGATGATTGCGATGTAGTGAATGATATGAATGACAAGCTTGTGGAAACTGTCCATGCGGTCGGAACTAAGTTTTACAAGCCCCGCCGCAGAAGAACACGAAAACTCTCCGATCACACTCTTAATCTCATGGCTGTTAGATGGGAAATGAAGTTGCAGTCTTCAGCAGATTTGACAGCATACAGGCAAATGAACAGACAGATCACACTTACAGACTTACGCAACTGCAGTACAGCTCGTATTGAAGAAGCGATCAAGCGGAACTAGGCCTCCAAAGTCTTTGCCATAGACCTGTCTGCCAGAAAGAGCCAATTTTCGAAGCTGAACACCGAGTGTGACAGCATCGCTTCCGGGACACCTGAGATTTTGAGTAAGATTGAGAGATTCTATGGGCAGCTGTACACATCATCGTTGGATCCAAAGATCCAAGAGCAAATCTTATTCAATACTATTCCGATGATATCCCGGACGTCAGTCTATGCGAGGTAAGAATGGCTTTCCAGCACCTTAAAAAACAGCAAGGCCCCAAAGCAAGGATGGAATTACAGCGGAGCTTCTGAAAGCGGTTGGAAAATTGGTACATGAAGTTCTTCAGAAGCTCTTTAATTCCGTCCTCTATATTGGTTCCATACCGGAGGCGTGGAGGAGAAGTGCGGTGGTGTTGTTCTTCAAGAAAGGCAACAACGCTCTATTGAAGAACTACAGACCGATTTCCCTTCTGAGCCACGTCTACGTGCTGTTTTCGAGAGTCATTACGAATCGTCTCGCACGCAGACTTGACTACTTCCAGCCTCCCGAACAAGCCGGTTTTCGAAAAGGATTTAGTACCATAGACACAGAAGACCGAGGAGTACAATCTTCCAATTTGCCTTGCGTATGTGGACTATGAGAAAGCCTTTGATTCTTTCGAAATTTGGGCGGTGCTATAGTCCCTTCAGCGGTGCCAAGTTGACTGTCGGTATATCGAAGTGCTGTAGTATTTGTACGGTGGGGCTACGATGGCTATCCGAGTACAAAACCAAAGTATGTAACCTATCCAATTATATATAGTCATTTTCTGTAAGACAGGGTGACGTTTTAGTCCCGAAACTCTTCACCGCTGAAAGCGAGATTGTACAACCAGTGCGTGTTGCCAATGATGACTTATGGATCTGAGACGTGGTCATTCACTACTGTGGAGCTATGGAGAGGGCTATGCTCGGGGCTTTCACAGCGTGATAAACTTAGAAATGAGGATATCCGCAGTAGAACTAGAGTGATCAACATAGCCCAACGGATTAGTAAGCTGAAGTGGCACTGGGCCGGCCATATAGCTCGAAGAACCGACTACCGACGAGGAAAAAAGTTTGTCGAGTGGCGGCCTCGTAGCGGCACACGAAGTGTAGGGCGTCCCCCCTCTAGATGGAGTGACAACCTGGTAAGACATGCAGGAAGTCGATGGATGCAGGTGGCTCAGGACCGTGCTTTGTAGCTAAATGGTTACCTCCTCGCTAGAATTTTATCCTGTACCGTGGAAGCAGTTTAAAAACATAAATTGCAAAAGGACAAACATCCAGACCTGGGACAATTATTTGTAGGCCATGCAATTACTTGTTCCGTGTGGGATTAGAACCCGCGATCCTCAGCACCGCAACTCTATGTTTAAGCACTGCGCCAAGGAGCCGTTTATTCTGTGATTTCTTTTCTTTGCTATGCAATAAAATGTATTGTATTGTATAGTAAAATAACTGATTGCTTTTTGAAATTATTCTGCAAAAGCCCACAGCTGGTCACTGCTGTTGAATTATTAGTTTAAAGGAAGCATTAGTAATAAATTTATTCTGTATTTCTGCCTAGAAGTGCGTCTTCTCTTTCTCATCGTCTAATTCTACCAACAAATAACAATGCGCGCACTGCTATTTGGCGGGGGCTTGGCGGTTCTAGTCTAAAGGGTAGAGATTGGAGACCGCCAGTAGAATTACAGGCGGTGAGGCATCCATATTAGTCCTCAGAGGTAGCAATGCATCAGCAGGTTTCTTTATTTGAAATTGGTTGCAGGCGTCCATGGGCTGCAGTAGCCACTTATAGTTATTCTATTTCACGATAAAGTTTTGACTTTAGTTGTTGTTAGCCGTGCACATACACATTGTGTTAGTGTGCGTAGGCTGCGGGCGCTCGTAGCCGTGCACATACACATTATGTTAGTATGCGTAGGCTGCGGGCGCCCGGGAGTAGCGCTCCCGAGGACTATATACACTAATACAATGTGTATGTGCACGGCTAACAACAACCCAAGTCAAAGCTTTATCGTGAAATAGAATAACTATACCATCATGTGAACTACATGTTAGTTCGTCACTTCATTGTATAACAATACACCATTAGTAATAAATTTCCTGTGCACTCCACTTGAGCGTCCATCTTTATCTTCTATAATATAAAAATGAATCGCTGAATGTGTTGCTAAGCGCAAATCTCAAGAGCAGCTGAACCGATTACGCTAATTCTTTTTTTATAATATTCCTTGAAGTATGAAGATGGTTCTTACAGAGAGAAAAAATTAAAAAATTGCCTGAAAAAGTCTAAAAACAACACTTTTCTATATTCCCATACAAAAGATTCGTAATAATACTTAAAAGTCAATTTGAACTTTAATACCATAACATAAAGTTTAAGTGTTAGTGGACGTTAGTATTGTATAAATATTAATGTCAATATTTGTCAATATTTATACACACTGGCAGATAGCTAATGTTATAAGGAGTAACTTGGGCTGCTTTTATTTTAGGGTAGCGCGAAAAATAACGCCACGCGGGCGAAGTCGCGGGGAACAGCTAGTATATTATATAATTATTTTATCCGTATATATGTGACTGAACTCTTCCTAAACGGCAGGACCGATTTGATGACATTTTGCGTGGTTTTTTTATAGAATAAGAGTGGCACACGAGCACACAGTCCACCTGATGGTAAGTGGATTCTGTGACCTATAGACATCTACATTTATCCTCGATTAAGAATCAAAAAACACATGCGTTTTCACCGCTGAGGACTAAGGTGAAATGCCTCGTTTCCAGTAAAAAGGGTCTACAGTTCTCTACACTCACTATACGAAACACAGCTGCATAAAGCTGCTATTTTACGTTGGTATTCTGTGAGAGCGTGGTTCTTCCCCGGTTGAGCCGACCCATTCGTGCTAAGAGTAATATGTTGCGTGCCTCTACCACTGTGATTTATTTGTTTCGAGAATGGTTTAGATTCACAATTAGCCCGGTAGGTGGCGCTGTTGTCAATATCTAGAAGCGTGCAAAGCCGGGTGGATCACTAGTATTATGATAAGTAAACAGAATAATTATCATTAACGTTTTAACTAGGATCAATAAGAGGTTATCAAGATTTCAAATAGGTAGAGATAGGACAATAATATTCGCTCTTTGGCGTGTAATTATTATAAAGATGTGTGAAGAACAGAAGAGTCCACATAAATGTTTTTTTTTAAGTTTTAATTTTTTAAGAAAATTTATGTCACACGTATTGTTATGTTACTTACTCCTTATGGCATAATCGCTGGAGGACCTAAGCACTTTGCTCAATGACCTCAATAGTGCCTCCCAACGGATAGGTCTTAAGATGAACATGGACAAAACAAAGATCATGTACTCGTATAACGTCCATGTCACACATATGCCGGTAGTTGTTGGGACCACTAAGCTCGAAGTTGTTGACGAGTATGTTTACCTGGGACAAATAGTCCGACTAAGTAAGTCCAACTTCGACCGAGAGGTCAATCGATGTATTTAACTCGACTGTTCGACAAATTACGGATCATCTTCTCGTTATACATCAAAACTTGAAAACGAGACTGTACCAGTGCGTGTTGCCAGTGATGACTTATGGAACTGAGACGTGGTCGCAGTAGAACCAAAGTGACTGACATAGCCCAGCGTATTAGTAAGCTAAAATGGCAATGGACCGGCCATATAGCTCGAAGAATCGACAACCGAAGGGGAAAAAAGGTTCTCGATCGGCAGCTTCGTATCGGTAGGCAAAGTGTACGATTTCCCACTAGATGGAGTGACCACCTGGTAAGACATGCAGGAAGTCGATGAATGCAGGTGCCTCAGGACCGTGCTTTCTGGCATTCTTGGGGGAGGCCTATGTTCAGCAGTGGACTTATGAAGGGCTGTAATGGTGATGATGATTATGATGATGATGATGATGTTACACTAGCTGTTCTCCGCGACTTCACCCGCGTGGAATTTATTACGATTGGATTTCATCGGTTTTAGCGCGGAACCCCAATTCTTTTCTAAAAGAAAAGTAGCCTTAGTTACTCCTTATAACATCGTCACCAAGTCCCATCAAAATAGGACTAGCCATTTTGGAGATGAGTCAAAACAAACAAACAAACAGACTGACAGACAAAAATATAAAAAATTGTTTTCTTGTTGTAAGTAGTAAAAATCTACTATATTGACATTTTTTTTAGAAACGTTACCCCCACACTAGGATTTTCTCCTGTATCGTGGAGGCAGTTTACAAACACAAATTGCACAAGGACAAACATCTTGACCCGGAACAATTATTTGTAGGCCATACAAATACTTGTTCCGTGCGGGATTCGAACGCGCACTCCCAAGCGCAGCAACTCTTTGGTAAGCCACTGCGCCACGGAGCCGTCAACATTAAAAACATGATTCATTTTTATAGATGCATAGATTACAGTACAATACTAGCATGCTAACATCTAGGGGTTTATGTTTTTTTTAAGTTACCTCCACCCTAGAATTTTCTCCTGTATCGTGGGGGCAGTTTACATACATACATTTTACAAGGACAAACATCCCGACCCGGAACAATTTCTTGTAGGCCATACAAATACTTGTTCCGTGCGGGATTCGGCCCTTAGCGCTGCAACTCATTGCTAAGCCACTGTGCCAAATGCTAGAGAATTATCTACCCTAGAGAATACTGTAACTCATCTATCCTAATATCCTAAGATACTATCATCTATCTTAAAATAAAAATCAAAATGCAGAAATGTAAAATTGCTCCCTGTGAACTAAAATGAGATGCTTTTTTAAAAGGGTCTCTCCATGTAAAAACATACTGACCGTCTCGATCTGGGAATTTCCCAGTATGTTTTTACGTGGTAGAGCCACGCTGCAGCTATATTATGATTGTAGCACGAATGGGTCGGCTCGAAAGAGGAGAGACCACACCCTCACAGAATACCAACGGAAAACAGCAACTCAATACTCCTGAGTTTCTAATGATGAGTGTTGAGATCACGAGACCCTCTTTACTGGAAACGAGGCATTTCATCTTAGTCCTCAGGGGTGACAAAAGGATAAATGTAGATGTCTATGGACCACAGCATCCACTTACCATGAGGTGGACTGTGCTCGTTTGTCAACCCCATTCAATAAAAAAGCTTTCGTTCTCAGTTTTGAATTTAAACTTAAAACTAATAGTACTTCTATTTAAGTTTAACATTAGTTGCATATTTTTTGCTAACCATACATTGTTCTTGACTTCTATAACATAGATTGGTACGAGATTTATTTTAGTATTGATTAATTAGACGACTGAATACCTAATAATGGTGGTGTATCCTTGTAGCATATTATTTTTTCTATTCTTACATTTTTGTACCACGGAATGTGAGGTAAGACGTGATATTTTTTAATTTTTTTTTAAAAGTGAAGTGCTAGTTAAGAATATTAAGTTTTAGAAACAAATATCTATAATTTAATTACGGGATTATAGTTTGATTACGGGCTGCAGGTTACGTCTTTTTAATAAAAAGGAGACGTAACAAATAATCACTCGTTGTAGTGAATAAAGGGATGGGATAACAGATTTTTTTTTAAATTTTGCTGATTTTATACTGCACTGCAATAGGCAGCCACTTATCATAAGGTGGACTTAGGGCTTGTTACACTTTCGTTTTAAAAACTACGGGCTGTAAACTGCAAGACTAACATTTAATTTAAAAAAAAGTGGGAGTGATCTACACTAGGCTATTCAGCTATATTATAAAGGCGTTTTACATACATAAATTTTACATGGAAAAACATTCAGGCCCGGAAGAATTAATAGTAGGCTGTATGTACAAATACAACAAATTGATTTCTAAAAATAAAAAAATAAAGACATGTGTAGTCCGCGAACAAACATTGGAACAGTGCTGCGGACACTACGTTGCCCTAAGATCCCTCTAGGAAATATATATAAAAATAAAGTTACAGCCTATATATATATATATATAGGCTGTAACTTTAACTTTGTGTAATATTTTTTTATAGAATAAGGGTGACAAACGAACACACAGTCGACTTGATGCTAAGTAGATGCTGTGGCCCATGGATTACATCTAGACTCAATTAAGAATCAATGCAGATGCGTAGTCATTCCTGAGGACTACGATGGAATGCCTCGTTTCAAGTAATAAGGGTCTCCAAATCTCTACATTCACCATACGAAACACAGCAGCATTAACATGCTATTTTACGCTGATATTGTCATTTCATTCATAATCATCATTCATTCACACATTAACACAATAGAACCATGCTGCAACTATAACATAGCTACACCATGGCTCTGTTGTGTTATGTTATGTTGTATTAAGCAGTGGACTTTGAAGGCTGTATAGGTCACAGTATGACTCTACCACGTATAAACTTATTTTATTATTTTTTAAACATTTTCAGTTAACGTATATCGATGTCAAAGGCATCTTACAGCAGTGTACATCTAACATAAATACGTCGCTAGAACTTAACAAAAACGACAAGTTGCTCATTGCAAACTGGACGGCCGAATTCCAGGTGAAACAGGTCAACATAACGTCGCACTACAGGCTGGAAATGACGAGGCACAGAGAGCAGAGTTTCCGGAATGTTAATTTTAATACTAAGGTATTCATGCACTTAGCTTGTTACCGACGTTGAATGACACAGCATGTGCATTTTGATTCTTATTCGAGGATCAATGTAGGTGTCTATGGACAACACGGTGCCGTGTTGTGCCTGCGTAAAAGAATCCCCTACCTCATAAAATCCCGTGGGTGTCGTAAACGGCGCCAGAGGGAAACTAAAACTGAAAGTCGGCAGCAGCATCTTCCTGATAACAACTAAACATAATAAAAAACTAACGAATATAACAAACCACCTGCTAAGCGTGGCAACTATGGCGACCTTATGAGGCTATCTATGGGGCTATCTATCTATCCTATGAAGCTTATGTTCAGCAGTGGACTTTTGATAGACTATTATTAATGAATGAATGGACCACAGCATCCTCTTGCCATGAGGTGGACTGACTCGTTCGTAACCCCCTACTTCCATTTAAAAATATGTTCAGTGGTGAAGGAAGACATTGTAAGGAAGCCTGCATCCAGTAATTATAAAACAAAACATGTGTGCAGTCCACACGCGGTAACAGTAAAACGTTCGAATGAAATGAAATATAAAATAAAATTATTTCACGGCAAACTATTTAAATAATATGATAATTTTCAACCACAAATGCGGCATAAAATATAAGATAAAAGTTTAATTTTATAGCAAATAAATGTTACAATCGTTATTTTTAGACTAGACTAGAATCTACTTCATTTTATCGGTAAAGTCATTTTTTCGAACAAAAATTGATTGACTCTCAAGGTGGTACGTAAAATAGACGCTAAATGGCCTATACACGGCTACTTTAATATAATATTCTATCTACGAGTAATTCACTCGCAGGCTAAATCTAAACGTAGTGATTATATCCTCTTTGGCTAAATCCTATAGGTGTATATGTTTATCTCTTTTTAGTGTTGCTTTTTCGTTTCATCGAGTTTCAAATTACACCGATTCCAAAGAATATTTCTCATCACCATTACAGCCCTTCACAAGTCCACTGCTGAACATAGACCTCCCCACAAGAATGCCACAAAGCACGGTCCTGAGCCACCTGCATCCATCGACTTCCTGCATATCTTACCAGGTCGTCACTCCATCTAGTGGGGGGACGCCCTACACTTCGCCTGCCGGTACGAGACTGCCACTCGAGAACCTTTCTTCCCCATCGGTTGTCGGTTCTTCGAGCTATATGGCCAGCCCATTGCCACTTCAGTTTACTAATCCGTTGGGCTATGTCGGTCACTCTGGTTCTACTGCGGATATCCTCATTTCTGAGTTTATCACGCAGAGAAACTCCGAGCATAGCCCTCTCCATAGCTCGCTGAGCGATCTTGAGCTTCCTCATCCGGCCAGCAGTGAAGGACCACGTCTCAGTTCCGTATGTCATCACTGGCAACACGCACTGGGTGTACAGTCTCGTTTTCAAGTTTTGAGGTATACCTGACGAGAAGATGTGCCGTAATTTCCCGAACGCTGCCCAACCGAGTTGAATACTCGGTTGGGCAGCGTTCGGGACACTATTGAGGTCATTGAGCATAGTGCTTAGGTCCTCCAGCGATTCTGCCATAAGGACTATATCGGCGGCAAACCGAAGGTGAGTGATGTACTCGCCATTGATGTTGATACCGTATCCTTTCCAGTCCAGAAGCTTGAAAACATCTTCCAATGCAGCGGTAAAGAGTTTCGGGGATATGACGTCACCCTGTCTTACACCTCTCTGCAATTGGATAGGTGTCGTACTCTGGTTCTGTACTCGGATAGCCATCGTAGCCCTACTGTACAAGCACTTCAACACTTCGATATACCGACAGTCAACTTGGCATCGCTGAAGGGACTGCAGCACCGCCCAAATTTCGACGGAATCAAAGGCTTTCTCATAGTCCACATACGCCAGACATAGTGGCAAATTGTACTCCTCGGACTTCTGTACAATTTTCCGAAGGGTATGTATGTGGTCTATGGTGCTAAAGCCTTTTCGGAAACCGGCTTGTTCGGGAGGCTGAAAGTCGTCAAGTCTGCGTGCGAGACGATTCGTAATGACTCTCGAAAACAGCACGTAGAAGCGGCTCAGAAGGGAAATCGGTCTGCAGTTCTTCAAGAGAGCGTTGTCGCCTTTCTTGAAGAACAAGACCACCGCACTTCTGCTCCACGCCTCCGGTGTAATGCCACCATGGAAGACGGAATTAAAGAGCTTCTGAAGGACTTCAAGTACCGGTTTTCCACCCACTTTCAGAAGCTCCGCTGTAATTCCATCCTCGCCTGGGGCCTTGCCGTTTTTAAGGTGCTGGAGAGCCATTCTAATCTCGCTCAGACTGACGTCCGGGATATCATCGGAATAATGTCGGATAAGACTAGCTCTTGGATCGTTACTCACACTTGCGTGCGGCTCCAACGATGACGTGTACAGCTGCCCATTGAACGTAAGTCCCGCCGCATCCATTTGGAGATCTGTCTGTTCAGTTGCCTGTATGCTGTTAAATCTGTTGATGAATGTAGCTTCATCTCCCGTCTAACAGCCATGAGATTAAGAGTGTGATCGGAGAGTTTTTGTGTTCTTCTGCGGCGGGTCTTGCAGAACTTAGCTCCGACCGCATGGACAGTTTCCACGAGTTTCAAATCGTCCACTTCATTGCAGTCTTCTAGTCACTGAAAACGGTTTTGTAACTCGAGCTGAAAGGTTTCGGGACTTTGCCAACCGAACCTCCACCGGAGATTCTTAGCACCCCCTGACTCGCCGTTACCATGGTCGCCACCGTAGCCAGGAATAGCGGGGCCGCCGGGGACTGGTGGCCGTCTCTTCGTAACTTTCATCATGGGGGGTATATTGCCATAGTTGCCACGCTTGGCGAGCGGGTTGGCAACCGTTAAACCCGGCAAAAGAATATTTCTATTCACAAAATATTTGCAGTACCTACATGTGAAGATGCTCTACATCACTTAGAAATGAGAAGAAGCGGAACCTATATTTTTATGTAGTAATATAAGTGGTAGCGTTATTCTTATCGATTAGATGTTGTTTTGACTGTATGGCTGTAGTTCCATGGCATTGGTGGTTTAAACTACTTACAGGTCAAAGCATTGTTTTCGTTAAACTTACAAACTACTTATACTTTGTAGAGGCAGCTATATTATGCTTCTAGAACGAATGGGTCGGCTCGACCAGGGTAGGACCACGCTCTCACAGAAGGTCTGCCAGTTTATTAATGTAGCTGTGTTTCGTATGGTGAGTGTAGAGATCTAAAGACCCTTTTTACTGCAAACGAGGCATTCCATTTTAGTCGTCAGGGATGGCAACACATCTACATTTTCATTCTTAGAGAGGATAGATGTAGATGTCTATGGGTCACAGTATCCACTTACCATCAGTAAGTTAAGACGTTTGTCACTCTCATTCTTTAAAAAATTAACTTACATCCCACTCGTAGAAGGCTTACCGTAAGCGTCACATCTGGCTTCGATCGAAGCGTACCAGGTTAGCAAAATTGTTTTTCTACAACCGTTAAAGCTATTAGAAAACAATCAGAATACATAAGAAGATAGTCTCTAAGTTGAGTCATGTGACTTAAAGTTGATTTTATTCATACATCTAAAAATTTAACTTAGACTAACCTAATTAATAGAATTAGGCGTTATTTTATGTAAATGACAAAATCTAAAAGTTACAAATATAACAGAGTCTCACATATCTATGTGTTAATCTAGTCCTACTGATAATGTAAAAATATGAGAATTAGGAGTAGACTAACCCCCGCCCAACTCAGTCATTTAGGCACAATTTACGAGCCGACTCGTTGCGCTAACTGAAAATTGCGCCATGTTACAACAAAATGGATAGCGCCGAATGAGCAGCGAAACGCGCGCCCACTCGCAGGTTCTTAGCACATACAGAACTGCGTTGGCTCATTGTTTACGCAGCGAGTGAGTGAAAGAGAGAGAGATTGAATGAGATCGTGTGTGTTGACACTTGATTGTATTTATTCAGTCAGGTGTTGTGTGTGTTTATACTTAATTATAAAACAAAATGTAGACATGAAACATTACGTCATAGGTCTTTTCTCCTGATTATGTCTTGTTCAGAGGCAAAACATGTGTTGCATTGACTGTGGTCTTTCCTATTACAATAGGAAAGACCAGTGGTGGTGCTGGGAGTAGTGGTATTGAAATTAGTAGTGATAGGGGCCAGTGTACGCAAGTAAGAGAGGACGGGAGGTGCTCTTGATCTTAGGTAAGATACATCATTTTTATTTGATGCGCGCATCTTAACTAAATGATTTTAACATGTTTAGTTTGGCCAACCCGAGCGCGGGTCGCGGAAGTGGGAGCAATCATCGGCAATTCTAAGCGCGGTTTATGCAGAACCTTCTATTAGTCTATAATGCATGTTTCGTTTATTATCTAGGATTCAAATAAAATTTATCTCATCATCATCATTACAGCCCTTCACAAGTCCACTGCTGAACGTAGGCCTCCCCCAAGGAATGCCACAAAGCACGGTCCTGAGCCACCTGCATCCATCGACTTTCTGCATATCTTACCAGGTTGTCACTCTATTTAGTGGGGGGACGCTCTACACTTCGTCCGCCGGTACGAGGCCGCCACTCGAGAACCTTTTTTCCCCATCGGTTATCGGTTCTTCGAGCTATGTGGCCGGCCCATTGCCACTTCAGCTTACTAATCAGTTGGGCTATGTCGGTCACTCTGGTTCTACTGCGGATATCCTCATTTCTAAGTTTATCGCGCAGAGAAACTCCGAGCATAGCCCTCTCCATAGCTCGCTGAGCCACCTTGAGTTTCCTCATCCGGCCAGCAATTAAGGACCACGTCTCAATTAAAGAATTCATCTAATTCCTCATTATAATAACGGTACCGTGGAACCTAAATTATCCTAGTAAAAACATACAATTTCTTTTGGAATCTAATTAAATTTGTTTTACTGCAGTGGAAGCAATGCTTACGATTACACAACGAAGAAATAAGAAAGTCGAAGATTTCATACTACGAAAGAGAGGGGGTGTGTCTCAAAAAAGCAAATTCAGGTGACAAAGAGAGACAAAGAACCGTCACTCAAGTGGAAAAGGAGGTTAGGCTTATTATCTTTCAGGTTATCCCATACAAGTACCTAAAACAGTCTAATTCTAATGGTCAAACACTCAAAAGCTACTCAATTTTAAGATGTCGTTAAGTCTCGTGTTATCACAGTCACTTTGACTTCAAGTGATAGAGATAGCACCAGACTTAATGGCGTCTTAAAATTGAGTAGTTCAAGTATTTGGGCACCAGACAAGTTAGTCGACATCTAGCAACTTGTTTCGTTGTTAAATGTCGACTAACTTAGATTTTTTTTTAAAAAACTGCAAGTTTCAAACTTTGTATTTTATTTTCAGATAAAAAAATGGCGCAAAAGCTACAAATATTTGTCTAATTTATGTGAAATTAATAACCCAGATGACAAAGAAAATGCGGAGTTTTGTTTAGCTGATTATGTAAGTATTTAAAGAATTACTAGTTGTCGCCTAGTGGTCAAAATTCGACCAAACGTGGTCGAACATTTTTACAAGTTCTTTCAACTGCAGTTATAGATATATAAAACACTATTAATTAATATACAAAATATTTAAAAAACACATGCGTGAGTGTCGTGTCGTGTCGAGTGCTAAGAATCTCCGGTGGAGGTTCGGTTGCCACCTTAGACGACTCGACCTGGTAACGTACAACGCACGCACCCTGAGGACTGACGAGAAGATCGTGGAGCTGGAAGAAGAGATAGACAAGTTGCGCTGGCATATTATAGGATTATCCGAAGTCCGAAGAGAGGGGGAGGACACGGTAATCCTCGAATCCGGCAACTTGCTCTATCACCGGGAGGGCGACCATCTGTCCCAAGGAGGTGTCGGATTTATCGTCCACAAGTCTCTCGTTAACAACGTTGTAAAGATCGGGAGTGTGTCGACGAGGGTTGCGTACCTTATACTCAGAATCACCAAACGGTATTCGCTGAAGGTCATACAGGTTTACGCACCAACCTCGGCACACCCCGATGGGGAGGTGGAGGAAATGTATGAGGATATCTCTAGAGCCATGCATTCCTCCAAAACCCAATATACGGTGTTAATGGGAGACTTCAATGCAAAACTAGGCACAAGAGAGAACGGTGAGCTGAAAGTAGAGAAATTTGGAATAGGGCAACGGAACCCAAGGGGCCAGCAGCTGGCCGACTTCATGGAGAAAGAGGGACTCTTTATGATGAACTCTTTCTTCCAGAAGCGGGCCCCACAGGAAGTGGACCTGGTCGAGCCCCGACGGTTCGACAAAAAATGAGATTGACTTCATTATGACGACCAGACGACAACTGTTCAGTGATGTCTCCGTGATCGCGAGGGTGAAAACTGGTAGCGATCACCGAATGGTTAGAGGCACACTGAACCTAAACGTTAAGTTGGAGAGGTCTCGTCTAATGAAGTCAACGCTCCGTCCCCCTCGTGCTCTGTTCCAAAGTCCCGAAACCTTTCAGCTCGAGTTACAAAACCGTTTTCAGTGCCTAGAAGACTGCAATGAAGTGGACGATATGAATGACAAGCTCGTGGAAACTGTCCATGCGGTCGGAGCTAAGTTCTGCAAGACCCGCCGCAGAAGAACACAAAAACTCTCCGATCACACTCTTAATCTCATGGCTGTTAGACGGGAGATGAAGTTACATTCTTCAACAGACTTGACAGCATACAGGCATCTGAACAGACAGATCTCCAAATGCATGCGGCGGGACTTACGCAACTTCAATACAGCTCGTATTGAAGAAGCGATCGAGCGGAACCAAGGCTCCAAAGTCTTTGCCAGAGATCTGTCTGCCAGAAAGAGCCACCTGTCAAAGCTGAAGACAGAATGTGGCAGCATCGTTTCCGGGACACCTGAGATTTTGAGTGAGATTGAGAGGTTCTATGGGCAGCTGTACACGTCATCGTTGGAGCCACACGCAAATGTGAGTAACGATCCAAGAGCGAGTCTCATCCGACACTATTCCGAAGATATCCCGGACGTCAGTCTGAGCGAGATTAGAATGGCTCTCCAGCACCTTAAAAACGGTAAGGCCCCAGGCGAGGATGGAATTACAGCGGAGCTTCTGAAAGCGGGTGGAAGACCGGTACTTGAAGTCCTTCAGAAGCTCTTTAATTCCGTCCTCCATGGTGGCATTACACCGGAGGCGTGGAGCGGAGGTGCGGTGGTCTTGTTCTTCAAGAAAGGTGACAACGCTCTCTTGAAGAACTACAGACCGATTTCCCTTCTGAGCCGCGTCTACGTGCTGTTTTCGAGAGTCATTACGAATCGTCTCGCGCGCAGAATTGACGACTTCCAGCCTCCCGAACAAGCCGGTTTCCGAAAGGGCTTTAGCACCATAGACCACATACATACCCTTCGGCAAATTGTACAGAAGTCCGAAGAGTACAATTTGCCACTATGTCTGGCATATGTGGACTATGAGAAAGCCTTTGATTCCGTCGAAATTTGGGCGGTGCTGCAGTCCCTTCAGCGGTGCCAAGTTGACTGTCGGTATATCGAAGTGTTGAAGTGCTTGTACAGTAGGGCTACGATGGCTATCCGAGTACAGAACCAGAGTACGAAACCTATCCAATTGCAGAGAGGTGTAAGACAGGGTGACGTCATATCCCCGAAACTCTTCACCGCTGCATTGGAAGACGTTTTCAAGCTTCTGGACTGGAAAGGATACGGTATCAACATCAATGGCGAGTACATCACTCACCTTCGATTTGCCGACGATATAGTCCTTATGGCAGAATCGCTGGAGGACCTAAGCACTATGCTCAATGACCTCAATAGTGTTTCCCAACGGATAGGTCTTAAGATGAACATGGACAAAACAAAGATCATGTTCAATGTCCATGTCACACCTATGCCGGTAGTTGTTGGGAGCACTAAGCTCGAAGTTGTTGACGAGTATGTTTACCTGGGACAAATAGTCCGACTAGGTAAGTCCAACTTCGACCGAGAGGTCAATCGACGGATTCAACTCGGCTGGGCAGCGTTCGGGAAGCTACGACACATTTTCTCGTCAGACATACCTCAAAACCTGAAAACGAAATTGTACAACCAGTGCGTGTTGCCAGTGATGACTTATGGAACTGAGACGTGGTCCTTCACTGCTGGCCGTATGAGGAAGCTCAAGGTCGCTCAGCGAGCTATGGAGAGGGCTATGCTCGGAGTTTCTCTGCGTGATAAACTTAGGAATGAGGATATCCGCAGTAGAACCAGAGTAACCGACATAGCCCAACGGATTAGTAAGCTGAAGTGGCAATGGGCCGGCCATATAGCTCGAAGAACCGACAACCGATGGGGAAGAAAGGTTCTCGAGTGGCGGCCTCGTACCGGTAGGCGAAGTGTAGGGCGTCCCCCCACGAGATGGAGTGACGACCTGGTAAGACATGCAGGAAGTCGATGGATGCAGGTGGCTCAGGACCGTGCTTTGTGGCATTCTTTGGGGGAGGCCTATGTTCAGCAGTGGACTTGTGAAGGGCTGTAATGATGATGAATGATGAGTGTCGTGGAGCACTTGAAACGAAGTTCCTTTCGCAGTATATTATTATTGATTTACGTATTATTCTATTAATAATACATGAATTAGGATCATGCTGAGCAACATGGATTGAAATATAATGCTGATAAAAGTGAACTGTTGGTTTTCAGAGGTAGAAATAAAAGTCCAACATATGTCCCTCCAATAAAACTTAACCGTTCACTTTTACAGATTAAAAGTGAACTTTTACAGATTAACCCATTTTAAATATCTAGGTCATATTGTGACAGGGCTTTAGCACCATAGACCACATACATACCCTTCGGCAAATTGTACAGAAGTCCGAAGAGTACAATTTGCCACTATGTCTGGCGTATGTGGACTATGAGAAAGCCTTTGATTCCGTCGAAATTTGGGCGGTGCTGCAGTCCCTTCAGCGGTGCCAAGTTGACTGTCGGTATATCGAAGTGTTGAAGTGCTTGTACAGTAGGGCTACGATGGCTATCCGAGTACAGAACCAGAGTACGAAACCTATCCAATTGCAGAGAGGTGTAAGACAGGGTGACGTCATATCCCCGAAACTCTTCACCGCTGCATTGGATGACGTTTTCAAGCTTCTGGACTGGAAAGGATACGGTATCAACATCAATGGCGAGTACATCACTCACCTTCGATTTGCCGACGATATAGTCCTTATGGCAGAATCGCTGGAGGACCTAAGCACTATGCTCAATGACCTCGATAGTGTTTCCCAACGGATAGGTCTTAAGATGAACATGGACAAAACAAAGATCATGTTCAATGTCCATGTCACACCTATGCCGGTAGTTGTTGGGAGCACTAAGCTCGAAGTTGTTGACGAGTATGTTTACCTGGGACAAATAGTCCGACTAGGTAAGTCCAACTTCGACCGAGAGGTCAATCGACGGATTCAACTCGGCTGGGCAGCGTTCGGGAAGCTACGACACATCTTCTCGTCAGACATACCTCAAAACCTGAAAACGAAATTGTACAACCAGTGCGTGTTGCCAGTGATGACTTATGGAACTGAGACGTGGTCCTTCACTGCTGGCCGTATGAGGAAGCTCAAGGTCGCTCAGCGAGCTATGGAGAGGGCTATGCTCGGAGTTTCTCTGCGTGATAAACTTAGGAATGAGGATATCCGCAGTAGAACCAGAGTAACCGACATAGCCCAACGGATTAGTAAACTGAAGTGGCAGTGGGCCGGCCATATAGCTCGAAGAACCGACAACCGATGGGGAAGAAAGGTTCTCGAATGGCAGCCTCGTACCGGTAGGCGAAGTGTAGGGCGTCCCCCCACAAGACATGCAGGAAGTCGATGGATGCAGGTGGCTCAGGACCGTGCTTTGTGGCATTCTTTGGGGGAGGCCTATGTTCAGCAGTGGACTTGTGAAGGGCTGTAATGATGATGATGATGATGATTGTGACAGAAGACTTAAAGGATGACCTAGATATCGAAAGGGAACGCAGGGTGCTAGCTGTGAAAGGCAATATGGTGACTCGAAGGTTTGCTGGTTGCTCTGTATCAGTTAAGATTACACTATTCAAGGCCTTCTGCCAATCATTTTACACCAGCAGCCTTTGGGCCAATTATACACAAAGGGCAGAAAATACCCTGCGTATCCAATATAACATTGCCTTCAGGTTGCTGTTGGGTCTTCCACCTTATTGTAGTGCATCAGGCATGTTCGCCGATGCGCATACTGACGATTACTTTGCGATCATGCTTCTTGAGGGTCTTTGCGGAACGGCTAGATGGCCCGACACTGGGTAGGTTTGTCAAGCTACATTTAATAAAAGTCCCCTCTTTTCGTAAATTTCTGTCTTGTTTTATTTACTAATATTAGTTCTTAAGTTTTATTTCTATTACTAACACGTTATGGGCCTACGATGCCTGAAAAATAAAACATTTTTATTTTTATTTTATTTATTTATTTTATAAACAAATACAAATAAATGAATTATTAGCGTCTATTAATATTAAGCGTCATTCAAAATAATATTTCTTTCATGGCAAGATAAGAAAAAGTGCGAGGGAGATGGATATTATTCTATCTCGCTCGCACTATAGAAAGGGGGTCGAGACGGAAAAATCTTAGGCTGGACTCACACATCCAGAATGCCTCTCTGAATTCATAATCTGAATTCATATTAATAATTAAGAAATCCTAGAATTGCATACAATTTAATTATGCTGCACACACGTTCTGATTTTTTCAGATTATAATTTTCTCAGGTCAATCTGTAAGAATAACTGACGAGCGTTCAGCGTTCCGAATTCAGAATTGGAATATTTAAGCTTATAATTTCATAATGCGCGGTTTCTATATATTTGAACACGCGAGCACATACACACCGGAATCAGATTATAAGTTATTTCAGTTGACTCTGCGACCGGCAAGGGCTAAACGTGTTGCGACTTGTGAAGTTTTTTTATAGAAGATGGGGCAAACGAGCATGAGGCTCACCTGATGGTGACTACCACCGCCCATGAACAACCGCAACGCCAGGGCAATTGCAGAACACAGAAGTTGTAATGTAGAACCGACTTTCCTTTACACCATATATACACAGTAATCTATGTTTTACACTGTTCACATTAGGAGTATGAATCCAGTGTATTCGTTTGCGTCTCTTTTTTATTATTATTTGAACCTAAAAGTAGTTCGATGAGTATTAATTTCTTTTCCATATTCGAGACGAGTGATCCAAAAAGTGCGAGACCACTGATTTAGGAATTCAAATTATGAATTCCAACTCTGAATTCATAGAGGCATTCCGGATGTGATTTCAGCCTTACACTTTTTCTCGTCTAGCCCCCATCCGCCAAATTTGTACCGTGCGATAAGGGACTTCGTTCCAATAAATGTTTTTTTCTCTTGACATGAAATCATACAAAATTCACAGCGTATTCAATCTGTTAGTAATTAATTATTGGTTTATTAATAGGTATACATTTTTAAATTCATTGGCGGCAGTTTCTACTCTGTGCGACTGTTTGACCACAGACTTTTAAGTGATTGACATTATCCTTAGGTAAATACCTAGGTCCGTGGTAATAACTTACATAAAATGTCTCAGAGCAAATACAAGCTTATGGATGCCGACAAAAGAGTGAAATGTAGTGATACTACATACTCCATACAGGGTTATTTTTAAAACAGTAGCCAAATTTTAAACCTATATTCAAATATATAAATAATGATTAACCATTATTGCAGTTTTTGAAAGTACGAGTAAGTAAGACCTCTTTGAAATTATACCAAATTGAAAGTGACTACGAGTACGAATACGCGTGCTCCTATGTGTGCGATTCAATTCACGTTTTACCAAATACAAAGTTTCCTTTCCCTTCCACATATTAATATGATAGATTCTTTCAAAACCTGAACCGGCTAGATAACAGAAATTCATAAATCTTTAACTAAAGTACCAAGGCAGCAAATTTTAGAAAACAAAATATATATTTTTGCAGATCAAAAGAGATAACTACGATTCGACGTTTGAGAGATTAATTATTCTGAAACTGGAGGCCATGTCGGATCTTCTCCAACAGATGAACACGTGCCTGTCGGATTTGGAAGACTGCTTGAGGGTTTCCTTGTCTGAACACTTAGAAGACATCAGGAGTGTTATGGAGATATTGAATCAATGTTACACAAGGAACAAAGAATGAAGTTGAACTTTGTAGATTTTATAGAATGATCCTTGTCTATTTGATTTATTTATTGTCTTTATTGTGGACTAGCTTTTACTTGCGACTTCGTTTGCATAAATCTTAAACTAGTGGTCTTTGGGCAAGTAGTTCTATTATCGAAATAACCTAATTGAACTAAATTTTTAGTATTATTTCGAAAATAAATCGAAATATATTATATCGAAAATAAAATAAAAATAAAAATTGAAGATCTATTAATATAATATAATTTCACGTAAAAAAAGGTGTTATTTTATTTTCAACTATATATTTTATTTTCAGCTATATTATGAATTATGTTAGATTTAGCATGAATGGATTGGCTCAACCGGGAAGTACCACGCTCTCACAGAATACCAGCGTAAAATAGCATCTTAATACTGCTGTGTTTCGTATGGCGAGTATTGAGATCCGTAGACCCTTTTTACTTTAATCGGGGATGGTCCATGGACCGCAGAGTCCACTTACCAACAGGTAGACTTTGTGCTCGTTTGTTACCCTTTTACATACCTCAATACTATACAATATTAATTCGCTTAAATTTAATCATAGTTTAAAAAAATATTGGTAAATCCAGTTGTGCATCCTTGAGCGCATTAAAAAAATTACGTATAACATTATTATATACCTAATTTTTTATATAGATATATAGTTTAATTAGACACAAGTATTCACTAAAAACTTTATTACTATACTTTTAAATTTCCGATAATTTTATGTCAGATTTCGAATAAAAAAAGCTTGGAAAATCCAAAATTCCACGGATCATAAGATTTTTTTATAGGATAAAGGTGACAAACGAGCAGCGAGCACACAGTCCACCTAATGGTAAGTAGTTGCTGTGGTCCATGGACATCTACATCTATCTTCGATTACGAATCAAAATGCAGATGCGTTGTCACCCGTGAGAACTAAGATGGAATGCCTTGTTTCCAGTAAAAAGGGTCTCCGGTTCTCTACACTCACCATACGAAACACACTGCTATTTTACGCTAATATTCTGTGAGAGCGTGGTCCTTCCCCGGTCGAGCCGACCCATTCGTGCTACAACCATAATATAGCTGCAGCATGGCTCTACCAGGTACATCATTAAAAAATAAATTGTATATTGTAGTTCTATTCGTCAAAGAGTTCCAGTAGCAATTCATAACTAACAAAACGAGGCCAAACTCGGCACACATAATTCTGCTCTACGAAGAGTTCCAGTAGCATTCACCAAAATATAGGTGTATTTTGGTGAATGCTACTGGATAATAATAATCTAATCTTCAGGGTCACTCTATTAAGTCCGGAGGTAAGGCCTTATCATAAACTTTTAGCATTTAGCTTTAGTTAGCTAGCTTTATTTAGTTAAATTAGTTTTATTTAGTTTACTTAGTTTTATTTAGTTAGATAGCTCTTATAACAAAGGGGGGAAGACCCGCCGACCGCTTGGTCGTCCCATGGTGGAAAAGAGAGGGAGGAATCAAAGCGTGTAATTCCTGCGCACACTCACCGAAATGCATCCTATAGAATACCGAGAGACTGGCTACTCTGCGCCTGTGCTCGAGACTGACAAGATAGGTTTCAACCAAATCGAGGTCATCAATGACCCTCTTAGCACGTCTTTCCACTGAGTCCAACGCTGCCAGGTGGTATTTTGCAGCACCAGCTCATAAGTGACAGCATTACTCCATGCACGACCGGACTTGCGCTTTATAGGAGGTAAGAAGCTGCCACGGCGTGAAGTACCGCCGCACCCTTGCAAGTTTCCTTGCGACTGCTTTGGCTCTAGATTCAATGAACCACCCATAGTTGAGGCTCAGAGAAAATTCAACCCTTAACAACTGAAGGCGGTCAGTGTACTCCAAGGATACATTCCAGAAATTAGAAGCCAGGGTGAGCGGGGTCCTTTTACCGGCGAAAAGACACGCTTGTGGTGTGGAGGCGTTGAATCTCACGAGATTGGCATCGCCTCATTCGGAGACTGCCTGTAATGTGAGATTCACACGCTCAACCATAGCCTCTTGTTCGGACTGGATTTGATCCCGACTGGCCCGGGGACTTGGTTGTTTCTATCGTATGTATGTATCGTTGTATATAATATATTAGGGAATCCAAAACGAACGTCTTTGGAATGCTTGCAAAAAATTTTCTTTTTTCGTTAACACATCTGTTGTAGCAAAGACATTTAGAAAACGATTGCAAATATACATTAAAAGTGACAAAATGGAGGATATCAAATTACGTCTACTTAATAATGAAATTAGTATAGTACAGCATATGGAGTAAAGGAAATAATAATGTCTTTGAAAAACACATGCAGTGTAGGTTATGATGACATTTGTACAAAGGTAATTAAATATGTTGCTAATGAGATATGTGATCACCTGACTTATATAATTAATCTTTGCATTTGTGCTGGCATATATCCAGATGCCTTAAAAATCTCTATAATAAAACCATTATTTAAGAAAAAAAATAGAGAGTTAATTGAAAACTATAGACCAATTTCACTCATTCCCATAATTTCAAAAATAATTGAAAAGTACATTTACAATAAATTATATAAATATGTAGAAAAACATAACATATTGTGTGAGGAACAGAAAGGATTTAGGCAGCGTAAAACAATAAATATGGCAATATACGACTTTGTACACAATATTCTTAATAATATGGACACAAGAACACCAGTTTGTGCCATATTTTGTGATATGACCCAGGCGTTTGATTATGTTCACTACCCTACACTCTTATATAAACTACACGCCTATGGCATCAGAGGTAATGTACTTAACCTTATAGAAGCTTACCTTAAGAATAGAATACAAATAACTAATATTAAGAATTTTAATAAAGTTAATAAATACGAAGAGACATTTCGATCATCGGAACGTAAAGTCAGCTTTGGAGTTCCGCAAGGGAGTGTCCTGGGACCGTTACTATTTATATTGTATATTAATGACCTACCTAAATACGCAAAACAAAATTTGACGCTTTTTGCAGATGACAGCACCATAACAGTACCTTGTAAAAATATAAATACATACGAATATGACATAAACAATTCCCTAAAAACAATTATAAAATGGCTAGATCACAATAATTTAATAATAAATTTAAGCAAAACAAAGGTTATACATTTCAGTCAACGCAAACACAATAATAGTAAACTCATAATACAATATAATAACTACAACATTGCCGAAGTCGAAAGCACGAGATTTTTGGGGCTGGAAATTGATGAAAAATTGAATTGGAAATCGCACATTAGGACTCTTTGCAAAAATATAAGTAAATCTGCTTATGCTCTAGGCATATTGTCTTCTATAATTTGTACGGATGGACTCCTTACTGCGTATTATGGTACGGTAGAAACATACCTACGATATGGTGTAATATTTTGGGGTAACTCTTGTGAAAAAGGAAAGGTATTTACGGCCCAAAAAAGGTGTATACGCTCCATGTTTAAGCTGAAGAGAACCGATAGCTGTAAGCCATATTTTAAAAAATATAAAATATTAACTCTAACTTGTATATATATATTAGAGATAGCAGTATTTGTAAAGTCGAACCAGACCCGTTTTAAGTGCCTGGCAGACATTGCCCCAAGAAACCGACGCGACAATAGTAGAGTTTATATTCCTAAGGGAAAAACAGCACTAATACGCAACAGTGTCTGCTGTATGGGGCCGGCTGTTTACAACAAATTACCCAAGTGTTGGAGGGATCTCAACACTTCATTATTTAAGACAAGGCTACGAAACTTTTTAGCAGACAAGGTGTACTATAATATCAATGAATTTTTAATGGACAAAATGTTGTGTTAAAATGTGTACGTGAATATTTATTAATAAATTGTATTATTATTAATGTAATTAATTTGACGATGGAATGAATAATTAAATAATAGTGATAATAATGTACCGATTGACTAGACTTACATATAATTTGAAGACTTTTTTAATTTTGTTAATCTAATGTTATATTGTATCGTGAATGACATATCTTCGTAAATTGATAAAAAAATATTTTTGCATGCCTTCTGGTAAAATATGGTGGAATCTATACTATATATTTGTCACCACATTCTGTATCACCCATATTTGCAAAATAAAGAAATTCATTCATTCATTCATTCATTCATTCATTAGTTGCCTGGACATATTTCAGAATTTATAAATTACGCAACAGTATTATTTAAAACGAGGAAGTTTAATTAGATTTAAATACAATATGTAACTTTAATAGGATGTGGAACAGTAAGGTCAATACGTAATACGATTTTTGATCAAGTTTGTGGTTATTAAAAATTAATTTATAATTAAAGTGTATCTGTTGAACCGCACTTGGGGTAAAAAGTGAATTTCGATTTATGTTCATCTGGGGTGGATAGATTTGACGCGTTTTCATCTATCCACACCATCTGGGGTGGATTTTTTAGGGTGTAAACGGAATAACCCAAAATATCAAAACTAAAAAGTTTTGTTCGAAACTATTTTACGTCATTTTATAGATTATTTGATAATCAGTTGACGGACGTCGGACGTCAGTCTGAGCGAGATTAGAAAGGTTCCCCAGCACCTTAAAGACGGCAAGGTCCCTGGTAAGGATGGGATTACAGCGGACCTTCTGAAAGTGGGTAGAAAACCGGTACTTGAAGTCCTTCAGAAGATTTTCAATTCTCTCCTCCATGGTGGTACTACACCGGAGGCGTGGAACAGAAATGCGGTGATCTTGTACTTCAAGAAAGGTGACAACGCCCTCCTGAAGAACTACAGAACGATTTCCCTTCTGAGCCGCGTCTACGTGCTGTTTTCGAGAGTCATTACGAATCGTCTCGCATGCAGACACGATGACTTCCAGCCTCCCGGACAAGCCGGTTTCCAAAACCACCAATATAGACCACATACATACCCTTCGGCAAATTGTACAGAAGTCCGAGGTGAGAAAGCCTTTGATTCCGTGGAAATTTGGGCGGTGCTGCAGTCCCTTCA